TCGTAAAGTGAAGGCATACATTCTATCAGTTTTGTTGGGCTAGGTCTTTTCGGAAATATCATGCAAGTTTGATTCAAAACAGATAATATCATACTATGTAAAAGAGTATCTTTGAACTGACATAGACCAACATCTAATTTCAAAGCCAATGGCTGATGAAACGAGTATGAAGATGGTAGAGTGATAGCGTATTACTATCTTTACCATGCCGAAGATAGCTTCAATACATACATACACACAAGTAAATGTTCGTTCATACGAGTAATTTTACTGTATCTCAAAAAATTGATCTATGGATCATGGTAATGTACCACGTGAAACTTAGTTCGAGAGGAAAGATTGTTAGTCATGCAAAAACAACACCCATATTGATAGAACTTGTATTCTTTAATTTTCATACTCAAAGCTCGAATTAATTCATACTGAACTCATGCTGCAATACATATTATACCAAGCAAACAACTTCCACAAGAAACATAATCATATACCACAGACAAAGCAGAGAAAATGCATATGAACCCTCTCCATCAGCTTCTAAGCCTTCTTATTTGTTATGGATCTTGCCTTCAAGTTCAGAAAAATTGCCCTAAACATGCCAGGCCAAATATGAGGGAAAAACATTAGTAATATTCACTCTTTTAGTAGAACATATTTTTAGTAGTGATTGAAACAACACGAAAACAGAACTTTGATTGCTAAAAGGTGAGACATGACAAGTAACTAAACTTGGCTCAAATTCAACTTGCCAAAGGATACATAACAAAAGCATCGATCATGAACAAATACTCACCAGCATGAAGCAACAAAACTGTGGAACAGAACGCGGAACTGCAGGGGCATGTACTGGTAGTTGATCCAGCCAACAATTGGCCAAAACTGCATAATATCATACTTTAAGTTTTAGTTATACTAATTTGGTATGACAAAAAAAAAACAGAATTTCTCTCCGCGTTTGTTGTGTAAAAAGATTTAATTGTACGATCCTAATACCTTCCATGCAGTGAGTTGAATGGAGGGATAGTCCTTTCGAACCTTGTTTTTGACAAGACCCCATGGCCTTCCTGTTATACAAGAATTAGCGTCGTGTCAGATATACCTACATTGTTGACTCTGAATATAATGACAGTTCAAGAATATTAGATTTCCTCTGCAAAAAGAAGTACGAAGGTCAATTGATGGTAATTTGCAGTAGCTTATAGATATTGGAACTGCATCAAGATATTTCTACAAGATGTCAGAAAAAGTTACTCGAAGGAAGATTGTTGGCTTCCGATAGACTGCATTTCATCGTCATGTTTGTTAAATAAAGCACAGATATACAAATGGTCATACGAGAAGGAACATAATCTAATTGTCTATCTTTTTTGTTGATAACCGTATGTGACAACAGTATAACAAAGAGTGTTTAACCATCTCATCTAAAAGCTTAAGCTGTCAGAGAGAGCGGACTTTAATTTACTTTAAAGTATTCTCAACAAAATGCACTAGACGAACACTGCTTACAATCTAAATTTCTTAGCCACTGGCAATTTAACAGAGAAGATCATCAGGAAGACGAGTTTTCCTCCAGCATGTTGTATGACAACTCTCAGGCTAAGAAATGACCTGCACCATATTTGCTGTGTTGTCATAGTTTAAACTCTCCATGGTTTTATAGCATTAAGGAAAATAGAGAGATATAATATCGGATTTCGCAGACCATCATATATTGTCTCATCCTTAATTGGATCAAACCACGTATTAGGATAGGATTTCTACAGCTACCAACCAAGTGTTGGAAATCTTACGAAAAATACTCCACGAACACTTGCAAGAAATTCTCATAGCTTATATTTCACCAGGTACAAGTGTATACCCTAGGACTCAATAATCCCCTTCTAGTATAAAACTTCGGAGCACATAAACTAACAAAGATTCACAAAACGAAGCCCAAGCACAAGACTGTAGGAGGAAGAATATTTGTGTTCATCACTTTTTTCTCACTGCCAAAAAGCAAAAGGTGATAGAGACTATCAATGTCATTAAAAGCTTCGACGGATATAGAAGATGAATGAAAATAATGAATAGAAAGATCTGTTATAAACCAAAATGAAGGGCATCTTATTATGAGTAATAAAAGGATTTAACGATTGATTACTATTACGAGTAGAGAGTATCAAATGCTCAAAAAAATGCTATTTTTTCGTTCGTTCTCAATGCAGAGAAAACTCAATAACATCTGAAAATGTAATACTTATAGTCTTCTAATCAACTTTAACAAGATTGGAATTCAATTACTTAGCATTTGAAGATGAAACAAGTTAACGTACCTTCAACAACCAAGCCATAGTACATCATAAAAAAGAAGTTGTTCCAAGGAGATGTTGTTAACTGTTCCAACAAAACCTGCAAAATTCATCAAAAGAGAAAATGTTAAGATTTTAGTTAATTCATATTACTTTTGGCCATTAGACATAACAGTTGCATACTCTCTATCCTCCTCAGACATCACTTGTGGATTACTTATAGGCATATGAGTTGTAAGTGCGAAAGAAAAAAAAAACTAGAAAACCAATACAAACAAAACACACAGTTTTCAGAATCTAACCTTTTGTGCAACAGTTTTATTACCCTTTTTTCCTTGAAATATCACATCCATCAATTTATGAAGAAAATGGCCAAAGGGTCCTGAATATGCAAATCCATACAGCTGCAATTTAAACAAACAAAACATATTTTTTTTTTAAAAAAAAAAACCCCATAATCAAACAAACAAAACCATTAAATTTAATTAACCTACCAAAAACTATCAATAATCATCAAGATTAGAGAACTAAAAAACATAATTCTAATAAAGAAATTTAAACAAATACCATTAGAAGAAGTAATCTTCTGAATTGAAGCCTTTTGATCCCAGAAATCTTCTGGGCAATTACATCACTGCACCCAACTAAAACTCCAGCAGTAATTGCCTAATCAAATTAAAAATACAAAAAAAAAGAAATTGTATGAAATTGAGGGCAGGGAAATTGGATTGGGAAAGGTATTACAATACGGGAAATCAAACTCTCGTAAAAATTAAAAATAAAATTCAATTATTCAACCAACTGAACTACTGAGATTCTCGTAAAAAAAATTAAAAAACAACCTTGGTTCTTAGAGGATGGAGTTGTAGTGCAATTAGATATTTTTTCCAACTTTGTTTAACAATTTCAGACATGATTTTGATTTTGATCTTAAAAAAAACACAGTTGACTGAAATTTAGCCTATATTGCTTATAAGCACTACTCAAATCTTCATATATAGAACTTCTTGATTCTCTATATTTAATTAATTAATTATAGTTTTAGTTAGTATTAGCACAACTAATTATTTATTTATAATTTTGGTTTACCACATTTCATGGAAACCTCCATATATTTGACTGGAAAATCTAAGACTCAAAAATACTTTTTCTGTTTTTCCTCTTATCTTTTTCCATTTTCAGTTTTATTAGGGTTGTTTGGTTTGAACACAAGTAATTTAAAATTACTTATTAGTATATATTGTTTGGTTTATTATAGTTTAGTTCAAAATATGACTCTATTTGTTATTTTTGGTAAAAAAAAAAGTGTTCCTTTAATAAATATTTTATTTCTTTTTTTTAAATGTTATTTTAATAAAAATATTGTAATCGATTAATAACATCATAGGATAACTTTTGGAAAAAAAAATTCTTAATAAAATAAGATTTCTTTCCAAAGTGAAGAAGATATACATCCATAAATATCATAAGTTTGAAACTTTAGGATACAATAATTATAATGTCATAAAATATGAAAAATTATTACATTGCTTCAAATCATATATTATCTTTAAATATCATCAAAAGGAGTTATTGTTTCATATTAAGAAAAAAAGAAGATTACTTTCCTCTTTTATCTTTGCTAAAGAGATGTTAAAAGGGAAAAAAAAGTTAAAATAATATTTTATTTTTTTAAAAAAAAATATGTTCAAAAGAAAAGAAATAATATGTCTATAAGAGAAAGAGACATTTTACCCAAAAGTATTAGTAGAGCGTTTTTAAATCAAATTATTAAATAAAGTATTTTTATTTAATTTTATATAATTTGAGGCATTTTTACCCCTTTCCATAAAAATATAACCGTATGACATAATTTCATAAAAAAGAAAAAATTGCTTATCTACAAAATTATATTTTCCGTCTTATTTAATACAAAAAGGGTGTGAGGAACTTTAAGGTGTTTTTGTTATCATCATTTTTTTTTTTAGCTTAATTGATTTTGCCATTTTGGTTAATATAAAATTTTATATATCGTTTTAAAATTTTTGTTAATATTTTATACCCTTTAGACTCCGGACTCGCTACATTGGTGCCATTTACAGGTAATACTTGGCCAAAACCCTGTAAAGTGTTGTTTTATAAACTTAAAATTCTTACTCCGTTTCTATTAGTGAAAATAAAATAAATCGCACATTCAATAATTTTTATTGATTACTGAAGGATTGCTTTTATGTGTTTTATAAGGCATAATCCTCTTCCCTTTCTATTCTTTTTTCACATTTATAGTTTGTTAGAACTGAAATTGAGAATTGATTTATGCATTTTTGAGAGGTAGGTATATGTATACTTCTATGCAATTACGTGCGTAGAATATATAGCATAAGTTAAACAATGAGAAACTCTATATAGGATACCTATTTATTTTATGCATAGAATAACCAATACATGAATAATTATACCCCACATAACTCTTGTATTGCTAATAATACTAATGCCTTGCATAAACAACACTGATCCCTACATTACTAATACATGCATGACTAATTTTTGTGTTACTAGTCGTATTTGTATAGCGTCTCTTAGCATACAAATACGAATGTGAACTCAAAAAAAAGTTAACTTTTGATTGAACTCTGGAAGGTAAATGTTAAAAGACAACACCATATCTTTAAGGTACACCAAAATACATTTTTAACGAGGTTTTTGTGACAGTATATACTACGCCAGTGATGGATCAGAGTCATTTTCACTCCCTGGCCTGACAAAGAAGTAAGCAATATGGTTTGTAGTTGCAACGGGATAGGAACAAGTTTTCAGGTCACAGATTTATGGTACACCACACCAAAGAGTTCAATTGTAAGTACTACAACTGGCAGCTCCCTGAAATAATGGAACTATCTGCACAAGCACGAACTAGCTGCATACAGACATGGGGAATATTGACTCCAACGGTGATTAAGACGGGTCTCAAATAAACAAGCAAAAAAACCTTCTACCCCGTTGTTTGACTTGGCACAAGGTCGCTGGGAAGAACATAATCAAGAGGGCCAATTTGGCGCTCCTATATAAGGTGAAACCAGTTATGAGAATTTCACATTAGCAGGGGGGGAAATGCCGATGATAAGAATGCTTAAAATGCCATTTTGGAAGTTTGCTACCTTGATGGGGGCAGATTTTTAATTATTTCCTTCTCCCTGTGCCAATAGTCAGCAGCTCAAAGCTCCTCAGGGCATGGTCCCTGCTCTCTTTTGCAACAGTAGCACGAGTAACAGACGATGATTTGGCTTCAAATCCAGGTTGATTCTTTTGCGAAGAGGAGCTTGGTCGGCTGCTTGACATCACAGCCCTCCTTGAGGTGCTGTCGGTGCGAGACATGCGACCTCTTTCAGAATCAGCCTGCTGATGGAAAACCCAATTAGCTGTTAGACACTAGTAGAAATTCCACGTAGAACCAATTGATGAATGCAAATTGAAAAGACAGTTGAATAATGTGCAGGCCACTGCTGCAATAACAAATACAAAAAGATATCAAGTCCATAGCTCACCACATCTCTGGAGGATGATAGATGCTCTGAAGATCTATGTCTCAAACGGTCCCCCGTAAAACCAGTTCCAGACACATTCTTTCGAGCAAATGCCTCTGCAGCACCAGAAAACTTATCTTTAATATCCTGCCCCACTGCAAAAGATCAGACGAATGTAAGAATTAACTTCCGACTATTGTCTGCTATCATGATTCACGAAATTCAACTTATAGAACCAACCCCCTTCCAGTCCCAAAAAAAAAAGATTGTTCTTTTTTGTTTTACTTGTGCTTCCAGTTATTTATGCTCTCTTCTTTTTTTCATGGGTATAGAGTAGATCAAGAAAAGCCCATAACAAACAATCCCTGTTTTCATCACCTGTTATCTATTCCTTGATCAATAGCACCTTAAGCTCCATAGCATAAAAAGGGGAAAAAGGAAAAACAACTCGCTTATTTAGTCAGTTGTGTTGAGGATGTAATTAAATAATAAAATATGCTCTCTTGAATAGCTTAAGCTTTTAGATGAGATGGTCACACACTTCAATATGGCATTAGAGCAGACAGAGGTCCTGAGATCAAATTTCACCGCCACACCTTGTTAAAATGAATTTCACATGCTTGGCTTATGAAAAAAAAATCAAGCCCACACGTAAGGAGTCGTGCTGAGGATATAATTAAATAATAACAGTATGCTGTCACTAAAAGCTTAAGATTTTAGATGAGATAATCACACACTTTAACAAAGTAGCAATACAGCTCATATCAATTTGTAGTTTATGGATGATGTTCTAAGTCAGAGGTACAATGGTTTTATTTTTATTTTTTTGATAAAAGTCAGAGGTACAATGGTTAACCAATACGACTTATGAACTCTGCTATATCCTTTAGCAGTTAACCAATTTATAAACATGGATATAGCTCATAAAGAGATTAGGCTTCCTCAAGATTGAAGTCATTGGTGGCGTATTGGCCTATTGAGTAGGAGATTGAAACCATTGATGGGCAATCTCATATCCTCCACTCAAAAAGCTTGTGTAATAGGGAAGCAGTCATCAGGGATGTTTTCCTTATGACTAATGAGATCAAGTCGAGACTAAGGAGCAGAAAACCGGAGACATTATGCAAGCTAGTTGTGAAGAAAGCTAGTAAGCATGTTATCAAATTCTTGTTTTTGCAGCTTCTTGCATCCTGGGAAAGATAGAAACTGAATCTATTGATACATTTCGTATGAGATGTTCCATAATGGTGAATAGAACACTGTGATTTCTTTGAATGGAAAGAAGGTAGACATCCTATTGTGCACTCATCTCCCTATTTTTTTTATGACAATTCTCAGTTATCTGCTGGAACAGGCAATTGCTACCCCAGTTGATTCTGCTTTGGATAAAGGAAAATATATTGAGATCCATGTTTTCTTATAATGAAAATCCTGCTGGAACAGAGGTTTCTTTATCACATCTCCTCTTCGCGGATGATACTCTGATCTTCTATGACCCACACATGTGCTCGTTTATTTCTATTATGTACATGTACCTAAACAACTATATCTCAATCCCAACTATTTAGCATCCCTCAAATGGTTTATTTATCCTATTATGTTTGTACGCTCAACTTTCACAAAGATAATTTAAGTGCAGAATCAAGCCCACCAGATAGTCTAGATAATTGAGAAAGTTGAAAAAAAGACAGAAAGGATGGAAGAAAGTACCTATCAAAACCAGTTTACGTTACACTTATAAAATTGACAAATCAAACACACCGACATTCTTTATATCTTCCTTTCATATCCCATCATCAATTGGTTAGAGAAACTAGTGAGGAACTTTTACCACGGTGGAACAAGGGATAAGAGATATCACTTGATAGGGTTGGGAGTGATGAATCCAATGGGAGTGAAAGCTTTTGACCATTGGCATTGGAAGATTTACCACATTCAACCAAACTCTCGATTAACGATTATATGTATTAGAAAATAAGGAGGTCACCATAGAGTAAGGTACTTCTCTCTATAATATTGATGTCATGAATACAAGTTGTTCGAATACATAGGTTTCATGTTGAAACTTGTCGATGGTAATAGGATACGATTTGGCTAGACATATAGTGAGGAGACATGAACAAAAAGAAGAATCTCCAAAGTATAATCTTTAGAAGTTGACAAACATACCACAATAATGGAAATGTTTAGGAGAAAAGGAGGACAAGTGTTTCATGAAATTTCTTTTTTTCAAGAGGCTTAGGCTTATTCATGACCCAAATGGGACAAAGCAGGCGACTTCCTTCACAAGATATATAACCACATACAAATGGGGAAGATGAGAATTATACCAAAATAGATAAGAAGCAAATACCTTTGACGGGTAAATCATACTACAATCCCTTGCTCAATGGATATGACTAAAAGGCCTTTAAGAAAATCAATATGACTAAGACAATCAAGAACTTTCTGCACCTGATGCAATGTGAGATATAATCCTTAGAACGGACAAATTGAGAAGGAGATGTAACATAACGAACTGGTGTTGGGCGTCTATCACTTCTTTTTTTGAGAAGGCTATCACCCATTAGTGATTACTACACTGCAATTTTGCAGTAAATCTACAGACCTTAGAATACTCTTTGTTTAATATAACCTAGGTACCACTAAAACAGTGTGGTGGATGATATGGTTCTGGAGGTTGGAAAAGCTGGATGCCAAAAGGAAGAAGATCCAGAAGACAACTGCTCTTTCAACGGTTCAGACAACTTGATGAGAGAGAAAATAGAGAATGTCTAGAGTACAGGACAAAACCTGCATGGAAAGTAACAGTGAACTTATTCGTTTGTATTTTATCTAATGAAAATATTCCATTTTGTGTTAATAGTTGGATAGGATATTTTTTGGGGAAATTGATATTTAAAGGTGACAACATTATCTTAGTGTGATACTCAATGAAAGGAATTTGATTCAAACGCAATATATAACGAGCCTATCTTCGGTTAACTGGTTAAGATATATCAAATCAAATTTTGTCCCAGTTTTGCTGAGGTAACACCTACTTTCAACTTTACAGAACCATAAATGAACGAAATTTTATTTGATGGATTTCATCAAGCTAATAGAAGCTGGAACAAACCCATTGCGCTTGTCTATAGGAATCTATGCATGTGAGCATGGGACAGAGCATTCATCCTCCAAGATTAAGGAAAATGCTCTGAGTTATAGCAAATGTGCATGCTTGAGCAATGCACCCCACTCTTTCCCTCTCTGCATGCACATCCAAGCTTGCCTGTGGTATCAAGCAAGCCCCGGAGAACCACTAATTATTAAATTGACATTGTAGTGCTGCAACCAGTTATGGCTTATTTCTCAAAAAAGCTTAAATTAGACTGGATATGAAGGAAAATCACCAAGACCGCAAAGTTGAATTAATATCATATATAAGCAGCTCAAGCAGCTTGCAACTTAAAGCTCTGTCTCTCTAGGGAAGAGGAATACCTGGGGGCTTCTCCGCTCTTTCAACAGATGGTCCTGGATTCAAAGGTAATCTCCCAATTGCTTGCTGGAAAAAGGCATCAAATGTTAGAAAACTGCCTCTTAGGGAGGCCGAAATCAAGTCAGCAGATTAACAAGACAGACCCGTCCTCTTGAACTGGAACTAATTTGTGGATACTTCAAAGTCGTCCAGTCAAACACATAGTCAAATTGATAACCTGCCACAAGTACACCAACTTTATTATTGAAAAAGGTGATGGAAATTAATATTACTAGAAAGGACACAGAAGTAGCAACCTAGAAGAATAGCAGAAACAGCTAGCATCACCACATAGAAAGTGTACCTTCTCTAATGAAAAGGTCACGGAAAAGCCTCTTCAGGTACGAGTAATCTGGCTTGTCATCAAACCGCAAAGATCGGCAGTAATGAAAATATGATGTGAATTCTGATTGATAGGATTTGCAAAGTACCTGTTAATAGTCAATAGAAACCCATTGAACTAGGTTGCTTATGCAATTTGACGCATACACAGTGCAAATTTAGCGCCGCAGAACTTTCCTCTAAATCAGACTTTCAAGATCTCATATAAGTACAAAAACAAAGTAATGCACCTCTATAGGTGTAAGCATCTTCTTCTCGCTGATCTTGTCATATTTCTGCTTTTTGGTGCCAGCTCTCAGACCTTGCCATGGAAGACTGGTATGGGCAGCAAATGCTTAGGCGCAGAAGAGAATTAATTTATATCAAGAAAAAAAGAAAAGGAACCAAAAATCAACTAAAACTCTAGGTCTCAACCTTCCCCTCAGAAAATACATTAGCACGTAGCCAAGAGACTCTAGATCATCTCTTCTGCTTTGTTCTACATTCAAGCAATAGAAAGGAAGTCAAACTATATACAAACCAAGAAAATATGAATAGATGCTGAAAATAATTTCATCTATACTTACCAACTCCAAGATGGGTGTTAACACTTGCATAACGAGCTGTGCCTGTGAGGTTTTTGTTTTCCCTGAATATGAAAGACATAGTTCATTCAACCAATCATAATTAACCACAGTCATCCAACCAATCCCCATCTAAAGGGGAAAAGACAAGATCTAAGAAAGAAAAGCATCATAAAGAAGAAATGTCAAAGCTTAAAAGTTCCAACTTCATTTAATGGGATATCCACCGTTTAAGATCGGAACTTTGTGTAACCAAAAATGCCAAAAAGAAAAAGGATTTATGAGCAGCTTCCAAGCAGAAAGAGGGGTACTTTGCTATTTTTCATTTCTTAGGAACATAAACTCCATAGTCCACATGTAATGAAAATCTCAAAAGAGAGAATATTTATGTCTCAAACATAAGACTACTCTTCTTGTACTCAGGAATGGTTGCCCAACTCACAGTTGATTGTGTCTGAACATTTTCTTGTTTTCAGCTGATGCATGACACAAGACTGCCCGAAAAGTGATATGTCACCAAGTAATTTTTTCTCTAATAGATAGAATGCATTGACTATTTATTAATCGTTTATCACTAAAAGCACATCTCTGTTTAGATGTCCATGTCTTGTCCTACGTGATTTATGTGGGTACCATCTCAGCAATATTAACGGTAACAAAGGATCAACTGAGAAATTAATTTCAAGGTAAGAAGCTTCTCGGGAACAAATTTTCAACAGCATTCATATAGGACACAACTTGCAGAAAGGTTTTAAGATCTGTCCAGTATCAACAAGGGGGAAATGATAAATATTGTTTGCACAACTTTGTCAAAAGAAAAATATAGTTTGCACAAGAAATTACTTCAAGTGCCTCTCATTCTCAGCCTGGCACCTACTTAGGAAAACTCAATGTTACCGCTCTTTGGAGCGCTAACATTGGAAAAAGCCTTGCAGCTTGGTAAGGTTACAGCTAAATCATTTTTTCAGAATTCACTCTCTTTGACAAGATTTATAGCTGTTACACTAATACATGTGATACATAAGATACACATATTAACAGCCACCAATCACCTCTTAAACAAAATCAACCAATTCAGTTATGCCCACCCCTACTACTACTTAGAAAGGATGAAAATAAACCTCAAGAAGCTTCATTCAATAGCCACAGATAAAATTGAGGCAATATATTAATAGTATGTCTACGGTGAGAAGTCTTAGAATGCGAGTTTGATGCCACCTCTCATTTCTAGCACTTACACTCAGAACCACCTTTGACTCTTTTTCATTCAAGTATTAATAACAGGGATGCCACAACTGATGACAAAATAGCACCATTTTTGTACAAGTGAAAGATGCTTTTAGGGGTCATTTGATTTGTGAACAAGTTATACTGGAATTATAATGTGGGGATTACAAAATGGGAATTAAAAAATGATAAGGACATGATAACAAAATAGCACCATTTTGTATAAGCGATAGATGCCTTTAGGGGTTATTTGGTTTGTGAACAAGTTATACCGGATTATCATGTGGGGATTATAATATGGAATTAAATAATGATATGATTATTTAGTGGATGTACTTTTATTGCCAGTATGTTTGGTTATTCGGACAAAGAATGAGATATACAGGGTAAATGTAAACCATGATTTCACATAAGATTAACTTGGATAAACTTTTATTTTCAAGTTTAACCTTCATTTTCTTAAAAGAGTCCATTTGGCTTAGCTGGACTTAAGTGTCTTTTAAGTACCAAGTGTTGAAAAAATATTTTGAGTGCTGGAGTTGATTTTATAAATATGCTGCACTTATTTGTTTGGATAGAAGTATTAAAACTGAAAATAAGATGTTAATGTGTGAGGTTAAAAAGTGTTTTCCCTGTTAAAATGACTAAGATAACCTTAATCATGTTAAGTTTATAAAGAAGTGGATTGCTATAAGAATTATAATTCTAAGCTGATTCACATACAAATAAATTTGTCTCATTCCGTTTTGAATTCTACATTAATCGATAATACTGTTTTTAATAAATAAAAATTATTTATTAAATAACATACAATAATTAGATTTTATATTATCCTAATATTCATCTTAAAAGCTTCCATCTTGCCAACCCAAAGCACCACAATACAAAAAGAAAAGAACTTAAGAAGTTCCTTTTAACTTGAGGAATTTAATTAAGGATAGCTAATAGAAAAATATCCACATCATTTCAAGATGCGAGATCAAATTTTGGCTAGCCCCATTGTTCCTATTTGGATGACTTTCGTGATTACTATGATAGAATGCACCACTTATGTCATATAGGCATCTTATCACACCTGCAGACTCATTTGTTCTAGCATCAGACTACATTTCAGACTGGAAATCGACATGCAGGTCGCTCTGGGAAACCTCGGTCAAGTTGTAGCACTTACAAGAAATTGAGTCGTACCCGTGATGTGTAATATTCTCCACATGGTATCAAAGTTAGGTCCATCTCAATTCAATGTTCAACAATGTTGGGCACCCTTATTATATTGTCCACACTTCAGTTAACTATGTCCACATGTGCAGGGGAGTGTAGAAGCCTCACATCAGTAAAAGGATAGATAATTGGTCTCCATTATATGATCTTAGGTAATCCTCCCTCGTGAGCTAGCTTTTGGGAATGAGTATAACATAATTTACTATTGTAGGAATCCTGGCTATACAAGCGTTGCTAAATTTCATCTTGGCATTTTTAAAAAGTCAATACTTGAGAAGCTAATAGTTGGTCTAAAATCAACAAGTAGGTCCTCCATTATTCCTTGCTAAATATAGATTTTAACCTATAAATAGAATGTTACCCATTCCTCTATTAACTTATAAAAGACAAACGCTCCATACAGAGTTACCAAACAGGTTTTTTAAATATCCCCCGAGCAGATATGTTATTCCCGTGGAACTCTCCAAATGAAACATACCGAATACTGAAGCAGGATTATAAAATCAAATGTTCTCTACTCCAAAACGTCCAAAATGAAGCGGCAGAAAGAATATACTACAAAAAAAGATTCAAAGCATGTCTCTTTGTTATCAGGTAATCATTTTCAATACCAAATACGTTTGTTTTATTGTCCAAAGACCTAATCATTGTAGAAGGAAAAATCCACTTTAGTTGCATATCAATTCTTTAAGGACAAAAACATATATTATACCTGTAGGGTATGTGCTTATGTGTATGAAGATCTCTGTACTTCTTGGCAAGACCATAGTCAATAGCATATACCTGTTATAGCACGATGAGGAAAATGAAAAACAAACACTCGTTAAGCTACACAAGATTTCTATCATAAGATGCTTATGCTCTAAAAGGAATGGATACAGAAAAAGAATAAGAGGGAAAGAGAAGTTCAGCTATATACTTCTAAGTTCTAAGCAATCAGTGAAGTTTCAAAGGGCTCGAAAGATTAGCCTCGGTAAAAACTAAAGGATAACAACATAAACATTGAAGAAAAAGAAGAAATGCAAGATTGCTATTAAAATGCCACAGAAGCCATCATTAGTTCTGTCGACAAGCACATACTCATAATGCAACTTCAAACAGAAGAATGTAATTTTTCAACTGATGATCACAAAAATTGTGTCAAAAGTAAGAGAGCAGCAAAAATGTTACTCCTCCATCCCAAATTAAACATTCCTAGTTTAAGTGAAACACAAAGCAAAATATGTTTAACTCCTTTTTTTTTAATAAGTAAATAATCTTAGCTCCACTGATGCTGAAGAAACCTGTACAGACTGAATGAAATTCCCTAAACCTAAGATTATCAACTTGTCTGAATCCTCGGCAGGTAAACATGGACATACTCACATAGTCAGAAAGAACATCATAAAGAGCATACTTGATTAGCTTTTTTTTGGTAAGTAGTATACCTGATTAGCTTTACGCCCTAAACCCATTAAGAAGTTATCAGGCTTAATATCACGGTGAAGAAATCCTCTTGAATGCATATATTCAACCCTATTAATCTGCATATAAATTAAAATGAGCCTTGGACAAGCTAGCCACAACAATCATACAAGTGATTAATTTATACTACTGACCAACTGATCTGCCAGCATTAGGACTGTTTTCAATGTGAACTTCCTATTGCAATAGTTAAACAAGTCTTCCAAACTTGGCCCAAGAAGATCAATAACCATGGCACTGTATTCACCTTCAACTCCAAACCATTTGAGGTGGGGAATTCCCGCTTAAAAGCAAAAAAAAGAATAACAATACCAAGCCATATCAGTTTAAGTTAAGAAAAAGAAAAAGAATCACCAGTAATGAAAAGTGAAATGGCAGAAGCAATTACTCACTTCCTCCTTGTAGAAGCATATACAGCTTTGATTCATAATGAAGCTGAGGGTGCTTCGTCTTAACTGGTTCCTGGGAAGCAATAAATTAGATTCTGGAAATAGTAAAGCTCACATCAAAGAATCAAACCCCAAAACTAAACATAGTATTTGAAACACACAACTACAAAAATTGAAACAGAAAGCATTTGTGAGAAACTTTTATTGAGACTGGTAATGACTATAAATATACACTGATAGTAAAAAAGTTGCATAAAAGTGCAAAAAGACTTTACAGAACCCAACCAAGCTTAGGCTACTGCTTCAGAAGGACCCTAACATAACATCTAGTGATTCGGCCTCCTCAGCATATCTTTCATTACACCAAAAATAAAACCAAAAAAAAAAACCCGTCTTGATTGTCTGCACAGAATTGTATTTGTCTTCGGTGGCCAGAATAGCTTTGGTGGAGTGATTAATTGCGAAGCGAGCCTGAGATGGTTTGGGCATGTGAGAAGGAGATGCATGGATGCCCTGGTGCGGAGGTGTGAGACATTAGCATTGGATGCTTTCAGGATCGATAGACCGAAGAAGTATGGAGAGAAGTGATTAGACAGCACATGACGCACAGTTTCACCTTGTCGAGGACATGATCTTAGAAAGGAGTAGGTGGGGTACACGGTTTAAGATAAATTGTTAGTAGGTAGTAGTGCATTGTCTTGCTATTCGTCCATATTAGCAGATGTAGTATTGCTCTTGTCCTCGATTTATTTTACTATTTGTTATTTCTTGTGCCTCAACCTAAGTTGCTCAGACTCTTCACTTTCGATGTCGCACCCGCGTCTACACGACGTGGGTGTGCATGTGGGATCCGTACCCGATTTTGTCAACCGGTTTGGGATACTCTGACCAAATTCGAGGGAGAAATTTGGACAAATTTAATGATTTATGCAATCAAAACTTTCCTTTTATATATATTCCTTTTATATATAGAAGGAAATTGATGGAAATGGAAAACCTTGTATATATAAATTTCTATTGTCACTCCCCTACCTTTGATCTCCTTCCAAGATTCTCCTCTTGATCATTATTTTCTTCTAAGTTCTAAACATAATATCTCATAATTTAGGTTTTACAACTATATTTTAGCCAAATCCCTGCACTCGTATCCATACATGGATCCGTATCCCCGAATCTTAAAATTTAGGTCATAGAGGAATCCTAAAATTAGGTCATAGAAGATCCAATCTTTGGATCCGCATCCATATCGGACACCCGAACCGTAGTTCGAGCAACTTAGGCCTCAAAGATTGTATTGTTTAGTTGTAGTTTCCTTTCTGTTATTTTTGTTATTATTTCTTGTATTTTCATTACTTTCTTTTTCGGACTATTTTTCTTGAGTGGAGGGTTTATCAAAAATAATTTCTCTACCTATAAGGAAGGGGGGGTTGTGCACTCGACCCTCCCACTTTGTATGACACTGTGACTACACTAGATATGTTGTTATTGTAATTGCATTTGTCTTCGAAAGCTCTATAGTTCCTCTTCTTCCAAATAGCCCACCATATACAAGCAAAGCATTTGTGAGAAACTTAAACCATTGACAATAGAAGAATAGATGTGATAACATTATATTGAGGTGCCTCCCCAACCCATATACTTATTTCAATTAAGATTAACTTTTTTATTTTTTTGATAACCGAGATATCGGTCCTTTTGTGACCCCCCCGCCCTTTGGACTAATCACAACTTTCTAACTCGGTAGATAATGGGCCCCGCCTCTCTACTATTCTCCACTTAAATACTGGGTTTCGCTTTGCATGGTGTTGGGCTTGAACCTGCGACCTAAGTCACAAATCCTCCACCCTTTGCCAGTCGAGCTAGGCCTTACTCAATAGTCAGAACCAATATATTAACCATTTCCAGTAATCATCTCTAACATATAACTGGACCCAACTAGTTCGAAATTGAGTCTTGATTGTAGATATATATATTCCTTACCTAGTTTTTAAAAAATCATCTTTTACACCATCATTACATATAGAATCTTTCAAGTCGTTAGCTTAAAAAAAAAAACTCACCAGCTTGACAGCAACTTCTTCTCCACTTTGAATATTCACACCTGATGATGACAGACAAAAGGTAAATACAGACCTAAACGCGCACAGATTATTATACATGAATAGCAATCGAAAATTGGGATTACCTAAATAAAGCTCCCCAAAAGATCCACTGCCGATCTTCCGACCCAGCTTATACTTACCACCAATTACAGAATCCATACTTAAATTCCTAACAACAAATTACTCCTTCATCAATTATACAACGCGAAAAGTAATCACAGATCCGGTAAAATCTAATTATCACCCAAAAATGCCTCTTTTTGGATGGAAAAGTTGTTCAAGAACTCTATACATACTTGCAAACACGTATTTTCTGATTAAAAAATTAAGAGAAATAATTTAACCAAAAAGACAAAAAGGAATCTGGAGAGGATAAGGTGAATATAGAAATGTTAGTGGGTTTTGCTGTAGGTGAAAACTTGATATGCCAAGAAAATGGTGGAAATGAAGAAAGAGCAAAGTGGAGATGAGAGAGAAAGAAGAGAGAGAATGTGAATTGATTCTTTAAGACAAGAAGAGATTTTTGGGTTAGAAGAAGAAGAAGAACAAAGGGAAGAGAGAAGATGACGTTGAGTTGAGATGCGGAGTAGTATGGTCATTAGCCATAGGGTTTTTATTACGCTTGTGAATCACCAAATCATTTTTTTTTTATTTGGTTAAAAAAATATTAGGACATAAATTAATTATACGGAGATATATTTAGTTGATTCAATTTTTTTAAAAAAAATAAGTTATTATGAAAATGAACTTCTATTCTATCTATCCTTAATAGAAGTAAGAAAAAAAATGGGAAACAAATAAGCTATAAAATGAACGTATTCAAACTTATTGTCCCATGTCAATTTCATTTAATTTTTACATATTTTATTCGTTTTTATGACATTTTACTCACAATTCTTTATTTTTATTTATCTTTATAACATTTTGCTAAAGTACTAATGATTGTCTTGTTTACTAAGAATCAAATTAGTGAATCAGATTACTTGTTTTTATGAAGAATTCTGATAAAATATTGTTAAATTTCGTTTTAAATTGTATTTTATCTTTTTTAGAAACGTTTTTGAATGATTGTGAACGAGTTTGGGGGTTTCTACATTTACATTAACTTATCATGCTATAGCAGCTTAATCACCACCTCAAATCATGTTGAGACCTCCATAGCAGTCTCGGACGACTACTTCTTTTTCTGAGTCATGTTATTGCAGCGTGTCAGCCGTTATAGCAACTTGCATGGGACAATAGCTCAAAAATTCTTCTAAAATAGAATGTTTCACACTACACTTTCAGATTTTGATGTAGTTAAACCGACCTCTTCACATCAAAATAAATATTGAAATTCCTACTCACATGAATTCATTATCATAAAGTCCTATGGAATCCTTATGTCTTAACCATAGATATCAATTTAAGTTTAGAAGTTTTATATCCTTTTTTTCCGTATTGCCGTAAAATTTATCTTGTTCAAATTTCATTCGAATTTCATTCGAGATTGATTTAAACGGAAATTTTCAATTTCTAGCACAATTTGTTCCATTAATGATTCGTTCATAACGACTATGTTAATTGTTACAACTATCTCATTTTTCAAAAGCTCAAGTTGAAAAGTTAGAAATTTATTTTGAACAACTTTGTTTGTTTCGAGCTCAAGTACTCTTTGATTAAACTATTAATTTTCTTTCTTTTGGTCTTCAATCAATTGCAATATTTTCTCTTATTCGCCATTATTCCTCCACGAGTCTCTTTGTTTTATCTCTTTTTTTTTCAATCTTCGACTTTGTACCCTCACTTTTAATCAAGCATTTGTTGCTCAATAAAGTCAAGAAACTTTAAAAAGGTATTAAATTGATTTAAGCTAATGCACACAACATATACTTGTTGACAAAGAGTAAATTGAAAAAGAAATTAGCCTATAAAACTTCCATATCTATAGAGATACAGAAGGAGAATAAAAAGTACATCAAATATTTAGCTTTCTTTTATTGATAATATTTTCTTTTTTTAGAAAAAGAAAACAAGAAAACCTGCAAATTATCATTTAATGGTAATAATTTATATTGCATAGAGTAACGGTGTGATCGGTCAGTTCGGTTTGGTCTTAAGTATTAGTGATTTGATTTATTGATTTTCGATATTTGAATATGCTAAATCGATAACCAAATCAATAAAATATTTGTTATCGATTTTTGATTTATCAGTTTTGGTTTTTAACGGTTCGAGTTTCGGTTTAACCAATAAGAAAATGTTTTCAAAATGAGTAAATGACTTATCCAATAATTTAACGTGATACGCATACATCGAAATAATCATCACAAACAGAACACTAGGGATCAACTTGTTGTATTTTAGTCACCAGAAGAAAGTCTTGATCAATTTTCGATCATCATAATATGTAAAACGAGGTCCCCTTTATGCAGCAAAGAGAATCAAATAAAACCAAATCATAACAAGAGTCAAAACAATAGCAAATGAGACCATGCTTATGGTAAATCATATGTTCTTGCGTTACTTAAAAAAACACAATCTGAATTTCTGACCTTTAATCAAATTGTCAACATTTACAATCGTACAAAAGCTAATATTAGTCAATTATAAACTAACTAAAGTAAATAAGTAATACTAAAAAGTAAAACCTAAAGATTAAATAACCAAAAGTAGAGAGGAGAGTTAACTCTTAGGTACTGTTGATTATTGCATAGGATTTTTATATTTTTACTCTAATATACTACTAATTATATATATGTATATATATATATATATATATATATATGTCACGATCCAAAAAAAATGGACGTGATGACACTCATCTTATCCCACCAAGACAAGTCAGCCTAAAAGTCAACTATTACAATAAAATGCGGAAAATTTAATATCAACTTACATTATACTCCAAAACCTGGTGGTCACGTATACAAGCCTTTAAAGTATTACAATTGAATCAAACGAAAATATAAGTTTCAAATGAACTTATTTCTAGAATAGAACAAGATCAAAACTATGAAGAAAGAGAGTCCGCTGAGATGACAAACAGCTACCTCACAAATCTCCAAAAAGCCTCGGAAAAGAAGAGAATGACAAGTACAACAAAAATCCAGGCTTATAACCTACAAAAAATTGTAGTAGCAAGGGGTGAGTACCAAATCACACGGTACCCAGCAAGTAAATTTCTAAACACAAGTTAAGGGGATAAAATATGGGTACTCCTTACACACCAACCGAACCTCCACAACTACAATCTACATAAAAATAGTCTAACCTAACAATTCACAGTTTTCATAGCGTCCAACTCTTCAAAATCATTTTAACAAATTACACATCCTTAACTACAACTCAATATTCAACAATCACAAACTTTCACAAGAAGGCACTCACAAGATCAGCAACATACAAGATCAAGTTCGTCAAATAGATGTAATCAAATATCAAGTATTTCCCAACCACCAATAAACACATAATCATCAAGAATGAAAAATGTCGTGGGATGCGATGCAATATGACACCATGAAGTGATATGCCTCAGAATACCAATTTCTCTCTCAACTGTATATACATGATACTCCTCGAAAATACATCGAGAGTTCATGACCCATGGGGGACTTGCGAGGTCCATATACCAACATGGACGATCTCCACGTGGTGTGTGGACGATCTCAACGCACTATCATAAATCAAAAAAAAATCGCAAGGACGATCTCCACGCGCCCAAATCATAATCATAATTTTTCTATAGCACGAATGATCTCCACGTGCCCAAATAATCATAACTCGGTCTCAACAAGGACGATCTCCACGTGTTAGACCTTTACTCATACCCAGTCTCATGTCAATGCAAGTGCACAATATGATATCCAATAAAGGAGATGATGCAACATCTCAGTAAATCAAATGTCGCTATGACATATAATCACCTCAATTATCACAATTATACGGGTTCAGTAAAGAACACAATCACACATAATAAAATATATCAATAAGATATTAGTTAATGCTCATATGTTTTGACATTCTTGGATTACAATCCGCTTTCTATAATAATAAACATTTTCATTATAACACCGATACTCGTACCATTATCAATATATGACATACAAATAAATAATCACATTATTTTTTATTATCCCTTTTTATCATTAAAATTAATCAAGGTGGACAAGTAAAACCCTTTCAAATCCCATTACACTTAAACACACCACAAGGAAATACACATATTTCATACACTTAGCAAGAGTTTAGAAATCCACTTGCATGAATTCAATAAGAATTTACTCCGGGACTTGAGTTTTCCCTTGTTGAACTTCCAATTTAAAGCAATCTATTCAGATACATAATCACAATAAGTTTTCAAAACTAACAAAACCTATATCACTATAGGTTTAGTTTAGACCCCAAAACTCACTCAATTTTTAATCAAGTTTTTTTAAAATTTTTTTGATCATGACTAATATGTCAACTCCATATTTTCAAATTCCAAACCTAGGGTTAAGTTTTTGATTCCCTCAAATAGCATAAATCTAATAGTATTCATATAATAAACT